CCTCCCCATCCCTGCTGCTCTCCGCCCGCCCGCACCCTGTCACACCCACCCCCAGTCCGGATCTTCAAGGTCAAGGCCCCCGCAAACCGCGGAGAGCGATAGATAGACTCAAGTAAAAGCACAATCGCAAAGTTATTTGTTATAAAGTGATGAGCAGCTGGCAGCACCGGGCGTGACGCTGCGCGTCTTGACTGCCGCCTGGCCTGTGTTGGTTGGGTCATCGGGCAGGCTCTCTGGCAGGCTCTCTGGATCTGTGCACTCTCTGGCTCGCATGATGCTTGGCCGAGGCGAGTTTGTGATGTGTGATGGGGGAGGGCGGTGATCACTGTGCCTGCAAAGTGCTTGCGTCCTCGGCTGTATCTAGAGCCATAGATGCCAATGTGTAATCAACCAGCTGCATGGGGAGCCACTGTGTGTGTGTGTGTGTGTGTGTGTGTGTGTGTGTGTGTGTGTGTGTGTGTGTGTGAGTGTGTGTGTGCGCGCGCGCGCATGTGCATGTGTGCGCGCGCGTGCGTGCACATGACACGCGCGCGCGTGCGTTCTACAGTTCTGTGTCAAGTGCGTTGTGCTGCGCTGTTGCCTTTGCATGTGTTGGAGTAGGTATTGTGATCCCCTTTAGCAGTGTGTCCCTGCAGCACGAATGTGTGATCCCTGCACTACAGTACTGCAGACCATGGCGCTACCAGTAGGTGACAGGCCACTGCACCCTTATGCCGCCCTTCGCCTTCAGCAATTGCGAGGCTACTATTGAGTATTATACATATATTGCATGGTCCCCCGATGTTGTGCCTGACTTTGAGATCACATGCGTGGTGTCGCGGCATGCAGTCGCGTTGTAAATGAAATTGGCTAATAACATGTTTCTCAAGTCTATTGTTCGGGGAGGGTCCTTGACCAACGATCTTGGTAGCGGATCCTACATGTTGCGCACGGCCGCAGCCTCTTTAGTGCGCCGATATGCAGCAGGCATCAAGCAAAATGATGTACCGGTCGCCATTGTGGGCGCCGGCCCCACCGGCCTTGTGCTGTCTTGCCTGCTGTCGGCGTTCGGTGAGTCAGTGCGCGTGGCGCGCCGCAATCGTCGCAACTGCTTTATCTGAACAGCGCAGACTTGCATTGTCAGGCTGCAGCCAGTTGGTTACATCGCAATGGAATGTGCACGCACGCGTACCTAGGTGCAGCGCAACGGCGTGTTTGGCAGGTGTGCGGCACGTCGTGCTGGATGGCGCCGCGGGCCCAACCCAGCACCCTCAAGCGCACTTCATCAACCACCGCACCATGGAGGTGCGCGCAAGCATGCAGGCGCAGCACAGGCCGCACATGCGACAGGTCGCGGCGTGCGTGAAGACCAGGCAGCTCATGCCTGATCCAGCTGACGCCATGCAGCCGCATGCGACGCCCGCGTGCAAGCAGCGGCGCTCGCCCCCATGCGGCCGCCCCCTACACGCCTTTGCTCTCCCAGCTCCCCGGCCCGCCCATCCCATCACACCACCATCCCTCTCACCCCCCACACCCCGCCCATCCCATACCACCCCCTGGCGACAGGTCCTGCGGCACCTCGGCGGCGTCAGCGCAGCGGTGTCGGCCGCATCGCCGCCGCTGGACCACTGGCGGAGCTTCGTCTACTGCCAGTCCATGACGGGGCACGTTCTAGGAGAGGTTGACCACTTCCCAGGTGAAGCTCGAGCCCCCGCTGTCTTTCTTGAACGAGGCAACGGGGAGGGGCCTTGAGGGGGGCCGGTCGGCCCTGCCGCAGCCGCTGTGTTGCGAATGGGAGGGAACGGGCCGGCCGGCGCGCGAGGGGCGAGGGCCCAGCGTCCCCTGTCAGCAGCCCCTCCCTGCGGATCTCGAGCCGCCCAGCTCGCTTGGAAGCGATGCATCGCCGGGCAGATGCCTGCCAGGGGTGCGTTGCGGGCCGTGCATGCAGCCGTCCCTTGGCCATTCCCCAGGATTTCCCAGAAAACACTACCATATAGTAATCCTTTAATCCACCCTGTCTGCTCGCCGCACGCGCCTCGTCCCGGCCGGCTCGCCAACCAGGCCAGGCGCAGCCTTACCTGGAGGGCGTCTCGCCGGAGCCCGTAACTCACCTGTCTCAGAACCGACTGCTGCCGCTGCTGCTGGAGCGCGCCAATCAAGCGGGCTACTCAAAGGCCGTCCCAAGCGGCGTCCTCTGGAATAGGAAGGCGGTGGCGATCCAGCCAATCGAGGCCAGCCCGGCCGCGCCGGCGACGCTTGGCAGCAGCAGCAGCAGCATCGGCGGCGGCAGCGGTGGCGGCAGGGGGCCGGGGCTGGTGTTGACTGTCAAGAATACGGAGGGGCACGTCGGCGTGGAGAGCATCAGAGCGGAGTTCGTGGTGGCGGCTGACGGCGCCAACAGCGGCATCAGGTGAGGGGTGCTATTCTCCGCGGACCCACTTTTGATGGGGGCGGGGTCGGCGCATGTCAGCAACCCAGCCAGAGAGACAGGGCCGCCTTTGCATTCGTGTTGCATCTGGAATGCGCTTTGAAACCCTTTGTTTCGCACGTGGCCTGCGGCTTGTCCACACATGTGAGTGTATCAGACGACCCGCTGCCCTGCGTGAGAGACACCGGCTCGCCGGCCGCGCGGCAGGCGGATGCACGAGATACCAATGGAGGGCGCCGCCGCCATGCAGCAGCTGATTAATGTTCATTTTAGGAGCCCTCGCCTGGCCCAGCAGCTGCTCGCGGGCCCCGGCCGGCGGCCGGGGATGCTCTACTTTGTATTCAACAGAGAGGTGGGTCCAGGCAACACAGGGGGATGGGGGACGGGCGGAGAGGCTGCACACTCTTTCAGGCGAGGGCCTTCAGAGGGCCCAACAGCAGCCTGCTGCCCAATTGCATGCATGGGGCCGCGAGCGGGAGCAGCCTCACCGCAAAATTGCCCGTTTCCCTGAGCAACGTGCCCTCACTCAGCAGCAAAGCAATCCGACCCTAGCCCCGCGCCCCATCCACACGAGAAAAGCACATACACACACACACACACACCCTTCACACACAAACAACGTTTACATACACACGACCACCACCACCACCACCACTCACCCTCCTGTCACCCCTCTTTGGCCAGGTGGTCAGTGTCATCGTGGCGCACGACTTCAGGACGGGAGAGTTTGTCGCCCAAATCCCCTTCTTCCCGCCCCTGCAGGTTCGATCCCTTGTTGTGGTTGCTCAATGCATGCTTTGAGCTTTGGGCTCTGCGGGCCGCACACGATTCCAAGGCTGGAGGGGGCGTTTGTCGTGCGAGGTGTCGGCTCGCTCGGCCGGGGTCGTCCGCAGCGGTGTGCGGAGTCAGTCGATCGGGGCGGGGCACGCTCGCTTTGCAGGGGGACGCGGGGCAGCGGCGGCATCGCCACCGAAGCGAGTCCACTCTCCCCCCCCCGCGAACACACACACACACGCACACACACACGCACATCCACATCCACATCCACATCCACACACCGCACACGCAAAAAACCCCCTTAGAAACCCAAGGACTTCACAAAGGAAGTCTGTGCCGCCCAGCTCTCCGCCGCCGCCGGCCCCGGCTTTGATGCCGCCGCCGCCGCCGAAGCTGGAGCCCCCAACGCCAGCGCCGGCGGCGGGCCCACCGAGCCGTCGTGGCTAACCTCGGACCCCCAATTCGAGATCCTGGAGGTCCGCCCTTGGACGATGAGCGCGCAGGTGGCGAGGAGCTTCGCGGCGTCCGGCGGGCGCGTGCTGCTGGCGGGGGACGCGGCCCACAGGTTCCCGCCAGCTGGCGGCTTCGGCATGAACACCGGGATCCAGGTGGGCGGGATGTCCTAGTGTCATTTGACCTGGTGTGCAGCTTGGTGTTGGGGTCCTGACGCGTGTCGCGGTTTCCGAGGTGTTGCGCGGTGTGGGGCGCGGTGGGTGTCGGTTGGGTGCGGACCGGCAGGCCTAGCTTCCCGCCGCCGGGCGCCTGCGCAGCGCCGAAGCTGCGCGCTGCGGTCGCCATGCGGCGCCCCTGATGAAGAATCCCGATCAACACCTTGGGGCTGTAAGGGCGTCTGTGTTGGCGTGTCACGGTGCCTCAGTGCTGCTCCTGTGGTGCGGGCCTGGTCACCCCCTGCCAGCGCCTTCTCTGCAGCACCGCTGCACCCAGTGCGTTACCTCCCCTCTAGGCCACCTCCACGGCGCCTCCCCTCCACGGTGCATCAGCTGTCAAGTGTGTCACCCATTATTTCACCCAGTGTGTCACTCAGCCCGTCACCCAGCACGCCATGCACCCACCTACCGCCAGGACGCCCACAACCTTGCTTGGAAGCTGGCGGCCGTGATCAAGGGGCTGGCCGCCCCCAGCCTGCTCGAGTCATACCAGGCGGAGCGCCGCCCCGTGGCGCTCGCCAACACGGCGCTGAGCGTCGCCAACTGGCGCGAAGCTACGCGGGTGCCGGAGGCGCTGGGGCTGCACCCCGCCGCGGCGGCGGCGCTCAGCAGCGCGTCTGTGGCGGGTGGGTTCTGAGGTTTTAGCTTTCGCAGCTCGGGCTGGGCTGGGCGGGTGGGAGTGCGCAGGCGTGGGAGGCTCTTGCCTTGCGCGGCGCAGCAAGAAGGCGGGGCAAGCATCCTCAAGGTCATGAAGGTCTCCATGCACGCGGTCACGGCCCATTCACCCTTGACGTCATTTGTCCCTCACTTCGACAATCCCACATTCAGCTCAGCAGGGAACCCCGTCCGAAATTCCCCCACACTTGCACCCCTCAACGCGACCATGGCCCCCCCAAATACCGCCCCCGCAGCCCCGCTGCCGGCCTTCCTACAGAAGCAGCTCCTTGAGACTGGCCTCGCCGCGGGCCGCAGCCTCGCCGCCGCCGCCCTGCCGCTGCGGCGCCGCGCGATCCGCCAGATCCTGGAATCCGGGGAGTCGCTGCGGCTGCAGTTCCCCCGGGAAGATCTGGGCTTCAGGTACACCCCGGGCTCGGGGGCCGCGGTGCTGGAGGAAGACGCGGAAGCTGAAGTGTCGGCGTCCCCGCCCTCAGCGGCGGCGGCCGCGGGCGCGGGCGGCGGGAGGGGCGCGGCGTTCGTGCCTAGCAGCGCGCCGGGGTACAGGCTGCCTCACGTCTGGCTGGAGCTGGCGCGGACCGGGGAAAGGGTGAGCGGGAGACTGGAATGGTGCAGCGGGGTGCGCTGCTGCTGCTGGGTGCTTGGGAGCCGGGGCGCCCTTTCTCCCATTTACCCGGCCCAGTCAAGCCCCCTTGTCATGCAATCTCTGCTGCCGACTGTGGGCCTGTTGTCGCGACCCCGAGAGGACCTCCCTGCCTAAAATGAGGCCCCAAAACTGCAATGCACCTCACTGCAATGCTCCCATTACTTTATTGCCTGCCCTCCAGGTGTCCACTCTGGATCTAATTGAGCTCGGCGGACTCCACATGACACTGTTTTCGTCCCATGAGCCCGCCAACGGCACAAGCAGCAGCAGCAGCAGTGGTGACGGCGCCGACGACGCCGACGGCGGGGATGGGCGCAACCCGTGGGCGGAAGCTGCCGAGCAGCTGCGAGCGGAGGGGTGGCCGCTGGCGGTCGTCAAGATCGTGACCTCTGATGCGCGCGGCGGCACGGGCGGTGGCGGCAGCAGCGACGGCAGCAGCGGCGGCAGCGGCAGGGGTGGAGGGGTCGTCAGAGCGGTGGATTCTGGAGGCGCCTGGCGGCGGCTGCAGAACAACGCGTGCTCCCCCGTGGTGCTGGTGCGGCCGGACGGACACGTGGCCTGGCGGGCGCTGCGGCTGCCACAGGGCGGCGGCGGCGGCGGCAGGGAAGACGGCGGGCGGGCGGCTGTGCGGCAGGCGTGCCGCGAGAGGCTGGAGGGGGCCCTGCAGTCGCTGGGTTGGCTGCAGGGAGGATCGGGCGGGACCGGCGGCGGTGGGTGATGAGAGCCTGTAGTCTGCTGCCCCCAGCTGACGTGACTGCATTGTTTATTGTTCGCAGCTGCTCAGCAGCTTCGACCTGCTTTGGCCTGTCGACATGTTTGTGCCTGTGCTGCCAACAGTGCATGGCACACATTTGTTCGGTTGCATTTATGTATAGCACAGGCTTTTTGTTGGCTCCTGGAATTCCAGGGTGCATGTGTGTGGGTTGACAACCAGGCTGTTGACACCCTGGAGTGTCACCTGGAGGCACAGCGGCCGATCTCCTACTCAAGCTTGTGTAACACCACAGGATGTGCGCAGACACCAGCACCCACAGTGGCACGCCTCGCAGCAACCAACCTTGACCCGCTCGTACTTTGCTCGCAAACCGCCAGACTACACAAACCTGACCGGGGTTTGATCAAAAGGTTCATGGGCAGCCGCGGTCTTGGCACATGCACCCAGGACCATGCGTTGATGGCTGGCTGCTGCCAACAGCCCGGAAACCCTGCAGAGGCCAACTGTCAGCAAATCAACAGCAGCCGGAAAACCAATCTATCTGGGCCCCAGCCACGCCGTCTCCGCGCCAAAGCTGGTCCCTACTTTGCTGGCGCGCCCGGCCCCCCACGAGCTGCCGCCGCCATCGCCTTGCAATCACGCCGGTGGCCCGCCCTCCACGCCGCCTTGTAGCAGGCGTCGGAGCAGAAGCGTGCCGCGTGGCACCCGCTGCACAGCCGAAGCCGCGCGCCGTCGGCGGCGGTCCTGCCGCAAACCCCGCAGCGCGGCTGCAAGGCGCGCGCCGAGGTCGAGGCAGCCGCAGAGGCGCGGCCGGCGCGCGCCGGCGCTCGGGCTCGCGCCGCCTGCGGCTCAGATGGCGGTTACGCCTCTGCCTGGTGGTCAGCCTCCAACAGGCTCAGCACGCCCTCCACACGATGCAAGAAGAAGTCTCGCGCCTCGCCGGCGCGCCCCACATTCGCCGCCCTCGCCCGCCGTGCGGCGCGCCGCAGCGACGGCACCAGCTCGGGCACCGCCGCTCGCACGGCCTCGACGGCGCCCCGTGATTGAGCCTCGCTGTAAATCAGCAGCCTCGATGTGGCCAGCGCGAGCGCTACGCATGCCTTGCCGAGGTCGGCCGCCGTGCTCGACAGGTCCCGGCCTGCAAACCAGGGCCTGAGGTCGCAGGGGCCGTCCAGCATGCGCTGAAGCGCCTGGGCGGCGGCGGGCAGCAGGGCCGGCGTGCCGGCGACGATTTGGAGCAGCATCTGAGGGTCGTCGCGGGGCGAGCTGGCCGCCAATACGATCTGGCCGACGAGGGTTGAGGCGGAGATGGCGTGCACCAGCGAGTGGAGCTCTGCCGCCGGCGAGACGTCGCACTCTGCCAACTCCTGGGCGACCATCGACATGGCGCCAGGGGCCGCCGCCATGAGCCTGGCGAACTCGACAGAGGTGTTGGTGAAGAGGTTCGTCGGGCGGGGCTCGCCCAGCCGCGCAACCAGTGACGCAAGCATTATTGCGCTGTGCCTTGCGGTATCCTGCTCCTCCTCGCGGCCGGTGTGACGGCGCAGCAGGCTCACAAGCGCCGCGGCGACGGGCAGGCGCATGATGGCGCCGCGCGCCGCCGGGGTCAAGAAGGCGATCAGGCGCAGCGTCTGCGCCGCGTCGCCGGCGGTTGTAGGGTTGGGGTCGGCCAGAAGCCTCACAAGCCCGGCCAGCGCCCCGGGCACGCCCGCGACCTCGTGGGACACTTGGGCCCGCAGCTCAATGGGTTTGACGGTCAGCATGCAGCTGATCAACGAGACGCACTGCAGCCGCAGCTTGGTCCCCGCGTCGGCCTCCGCGTCGC